GGTGGCGATTTTTATTTTGATTTGTATAAAGTCTAGTCAATCCAATGGCTTAGTCTTGAACATTTCTACCGCTACACCATGCTATTAACACCTCCCATTTTTACTACCTTAACATAATTTACACCCCCACATTTTTTAAATTTATTTTCTTATTATTTTGCTACATTCACTTTATATATATATACATATATATATATATATATATATATATATATATATATATATATATATATATATATATATATATATATATATATATATATATATATATATATATATATATATATATATATATATATATATATATATATATATATATATATATATATATATATATATATATATATATATATATATATATATATATATATATATATATATATATATTATATTTAATGTTATTCAATATTATTATTACAAATCAATTATTATTTTCCAACTCATCAAAAATATTTTTTTATTGCATTAAATTAAATTGTTTTAAGCATGCATTAATTATAATATTTTCATAATTAATACGCTAAAAAAATACTTAGCCAACGGCAAATAATTTTCGTAAATCAAATTAATCTAACAATTATTCTTCAAAAAGAGTTACAAGTATATTTGAATCGGATGCGTACTCTGTCTAATATCTCCGCTATTCATACACCTAGACTAAGTATGCAGGAAATTCAAATATAATTCTTAACTCATGAAAAATACAAACCAACTGCAAACTATGAATTGGGATTTTGATTCCTCATAAGAGGATACGTAGGCATACGAATAAAATCGTGACGAGTTCCTCAAATAAAATACTAAAAACCTTATTCCCTAAAGATTGATTCTAAACATAGTATCCTTGTGAACAAGGTAGATGAGGGGTGTCTAACATCTTCCCTTCATCTAAAACCGAGTCAATAATCTAGAATCTCTGAACTTTTTAGAGTTATTCCTTTATACTTCCTTCCTTAGGATAAAAATTAAGGGTGGCGACTCTGATTTAAAAGTCAGTTACAACAACATGTTCCTAAATTTCGTGTGAATTTGATATATGTGAGTAAATTGACACAAGCATTGGAATGTATAGTAACATTCTATCCAAATTTTGTATTGTGCAGGACGTGGATAAGAGGAGGTCGATTGGCATTGGCAAGCATTTTAATGGTCTTTACTAACTCACACTAACTCATAACCCTCGCCCTGTTCACCACATAACACGTAATTCAAACCTTTGGCACCAACGTCTTGGACACTCATCTGTTGCCCCTCTTCCGAGTCTATCACAATGTTTCCTAGAAATTATTTTTAATTCTAAGCATGTTTGTGAGATTTATCCCTTAGCAAAACAAACTCGCTTGTACTTTCTTTTAAGTTCAATAAAAATTATTGTACCATTTGATTTAACCCATTGTGATATTTTGGGACCACACAAAATTCACACACACTTAGGGACTCACTATTTTCTTACCATTGTAGATGATTTTACTCGCTTCACATGGGTACATCTCATGAGTTTCAAATCTCATACCCAAAATATATTAAAATCATTTTTTGCTTGGGTTAAAACTCAATTTGATCAAGACATTAAAATTTTATGCCCTAATAATGGGGTGAACTCACATCAATGTGCTCCTTCCTTGATGAACATGACACTATCTTTCAACACATATGTGCCTTTAACCCCCAGCAAAATGGAGTAGTTAAACGTAAACATCACCACCTTTTAAATGTATCACATGTTATAGGTTTTCAAGCAAACTTACCTTTGCAGTTTTTAGGGGAGAGTATCCAAACGACATGTTACCTCATTAACCACCTACGCACACCTCTATTTTCCCATAAATATCCATATGAACTTCTACATAAATCTCCACCAAATTATCCCAACTTTCGGGTCTTTGGTTGCCTATGTTATGCCACAAACCTTACCCCTAATATCAAATTTGACTATCGTGCACGATGTTGTATTTTCATTGATTATCCTCTTGAACAAAAGGGATACATTGTTTACAACCTTAAAGGGAAAAAAATTTCACCTTTTGGGATGTCATATTCCATGAACATACATTCCCGTTACACAACCTCCTATCAGAAAAAAACATTACAACAATCTTGTACTACTCGTCCCTAATGATTTAATTCCACTTCCCGAGCCCAATCAAACCCATTCCCACTCACCAAATACAACATATGATCCCTCATCCAACATAACTCCAGCCCACACAATACCTAAATTTAGTCATACATCTACCCCACTACAAGTTTACCATCGGCACCCTTCATGGATCACCACTAATTCCTTACCCACACCCCTTACCATGGCACCTTTATTAGAGGATCATTCCCCTTTAGAGGACACCCTTCACCCCGATCACCCCTCTACCCTTCTGATACCACTGCACTCATCTCCATCAACCACTTCATCACAACTATCTCCCATATAACAATCCCCCGACCTTTGTCGTTCATCCCCCACCTTTTAGCCTCCATCACATCTCCGAGATTTCAAAATGTACCATGTTGTTGTCCTAGGCCATAGTGACTCCTCGTCCTTTGTGTCAAGCTCTCGATATCCATTGCAATGGTATGTTTCTTACTTTGGCTTATCAGATACATATCGTTCCTTGGTGAATAACATATCTCTCTTGGTTGAGCCTACAACTTATGAACAGGCATGCCATGATCCCAATTGAGTTGCCGCTATGAACTCTGAGATTTAGGCCCTTGAGGAGAATAAAACATGGTCCATGGTTCCACTACATCTTGGCCAACGACCTATCAGCTACAAGTGGGTGTTTAAGATCAAGTATCATGTTGATGGTACAATTGAGCATTACAAAGCTCGACTTATCGCCAAAGGTTTCACCCAAAGTGAAGGCATTGAATAAAAGGATATGTTTGCACCGGTTGCCAAATTAGTCATTGTCCGTTGCTTATTAGCCATTGATTTCGTTCTACATTGGCATTTACACCAAATGGACGTGCAAAATGCATTTCTTCATGGAGATCTTGTTGAGGAAGTATACATGTTGCTCCCTTTGGGCTATTGTCGACAGGGGGAGAATGTAGTTTATCGACTACACAAGTCACTTTATGGGCTCAAGCGAGCATCTTACAGTTGGTTCCAATCTTTTTCTTGTGTAATTCAAGAAATCAACTTTCAACAATCAAAGGCTGATTACTCACTGTTTACACAGGTTCTTGGGGATTCTATTATTGTGGTGCTACTCTATGTTGATGATATGGTCATTACTGAGAACAATGAGACATCCATCAATGATCTCAAGAAGTATCTCAATAGTTGTTTCAAGATTAAAGACCTTGGAGTGCCCAAATACTTTCTAGGCATTGAAGTGACTTGGTTCAAGGCAGGAATAATAGTCTGTCATAGAAAATACACATTAGACATATTAAAATAAGTTGGACTACTTGGAGCAAAACCATCAATTATCCCCCATAAAACCCGACTTGGTGTTAACAGAAAATTGAAGTGAAGCTCCCAAGGATCCCAATCTTTATCGCGAGCTACTTGGAAAACTAATCTACCTCACAATTAGTCGGCCTGAAATCACATACTGTATAAACACACTTAGTCAATTCATGCAGGAACCAAAAGTATATCACATGAATGATGCACATCGACTTCTTCAATACTTGAAAGCATCTCCAAGACAATGGTTACTATCCTTATCAGACAACTCACTCAATTTGGTTGGATATTGGGATGTCGATTGGGCAAGATGCCCGACCACACGTCGTTGTAACTGGCTATTATATATTCCTTAAAAAGTCCCTTGTCTCATGGAAAAGATAGAAACAATCAATAGTTTCACGGTCATCAGCAGAAGCAAAGTATCGTTTGATGGTCGTAGCCACTTGTGAGATTTCTTGGTAGAGATACTTGTTAAAAGATTTACATGTGAGGCAACAAGATTATTTTGTGACAATCACACAATAAGATAATTTTGTGACAACCAAACATCTCTACAAATCCCTGCAAATCCTGTCTAAAATGAGAGAACAAAACATATTGAATTAAATTGCCACACTGATCGTGGGAGAAATCAAGACATCATATATACAAAGTGAAAATCATATAGAGTGTTAAAGGAAATAAAATTACTATTTAATGTGATTGATAACTTTCATTTGTAAATATAGAATTATAATATTATCATTATTATTTGTATCCCTCAGACAACTCATTACGAATGAGCATTGTCTACTACTATGATGATATTATAGGGTGATTAATGGTTCATATTGAAAATTATTGTCCACCAAACACGTTTTGTTATTTAAAGGTGTCGGTGGTACAAATATCATAACTTAAAAATTTATTAAGCCTTAAAATGAATTTCAAAACGTTAAAAGACAAATTGAACAAAACATAAAGATAAATAGCTCAAATCTAAATTTAGCCAACAGCTGAAAAATGGAAGTGGTAAAGAAGGACAAGTTAGTAGTATCCGCCAAAGGCTAGCTAGACTCATCAATCATGTTTAAATTTATTCACAATCAATACATTATCCTACCTACCTACCCTTTCCATTATTAGAAACTCTACTTGACCCCATCTCCAACACTAACACTAGTAACAACATTCCTACAAATCAAAAATGCGTGGCCATTTTTCAGCTGCATTTTTTTTTTTTTTTGGTTTTATCAAGTGGCAATGAATATGAATATATGAATATGAATATATGAATATGATCCATCATCATCATAATCATAATCATCCATGTCATGTCCTTTTTATCTCTTTGTTGCATGCATCATTCATCCTATGTCATTTCCCAGAAGCTACATACATAGTGTCCGTGTTATGGGGGGTCCACAGGGGAAAAATAATTGGTTGGAATCTGAGTGAGAGGGTAAGTCTGAGAGACACAAGATTATTACAACAGTCCACATGGCATTGGCCCATCTATGTCTGCCACAGCCAGCCAGGTTGTTCATCATCAAAAGTACTAGTAACTTTTGTTTGGTGGGACCCATTTGGGGTCATGTACACGTCAGCATGGTTTAGATTTAGAGCCCTTTCCCTTGCTAAAAGGGATACCTTCTTTGGTGAGTTCAGCCATAACACTATCCATTGATGGAGGTTTGAGTCCTATTGGTAATGGTAGCCATGGCTTGTTTATTGCCTCTTTCACAACCTTGTCCACCACTTCCTCTGCCTGCATGCATCAATATAACACATTTCAAATACTGTTAGTCCCATAACCTGGTTCAAAAGAACACACGCGAGATTTGATCGCGATGTTTGGCCAATTGTGCCTACGCCTCTAATTGAAATGTGCCCGAAGTACCTTTCTATTGAACTATAATACTAGAGTAATCATTATTATAAGTAAATATTTTCTTTTCAAATTCACAGATTCATTGAATAATTAATGTATTTGATCTATATCTAGTCTGGTATAATATCTAAATCAGATACATACATGAGTTGGTCTATATCTAAATCAGATACATACTTGAGTTGAGGGAAACAAAAGGAAAGAAATGCATTTACCGGATAATGCTCGAAGGAATTATGTGGCATGCCAAATCTATAATCTGTTGCTTTTGCATTTTGCAATCCGATTATATTCTGCAGTTCGATGAAAGTTTTTTAGTTAGCATTACTCTGGTAAATAGTTTAAAGACTTTAAATATGATGCTTACTTGAGTGTAGGGAAAACAAGGAGTTTGAGGAGGTGGCAACATTGGGTTACCCCATGCATCCACATGCACCTGAAAAATCAGTTATTACATTTAAAACTGCATACATGAAAGGAAAATGTATATACCGCTACGAATAAAATTATTACCCCGGGCGGATAAGGCTTCCAATGCCAATTTTCTGTAGGTTGTTGCCATAGAGGATAACCAGGAGGAGGAGGAGCCCAAATCGGTACACCGGCTATTTGACTTCCTGGTTGTCCCCACATAGGATATATAGGAGCTGGAGGATAGGTGTGATTAGAATGATATGGCGGATAGGCCATGATTGGTCTTTGCATACAATAGTTCCTTTGCATTGGATCTCTTTGATTTGGCCATTTTCGATCTTCGTCTGCGTGCAACATCTGTCTCTTGTGCATTCTATATTTCTGTTCAACAAAAATTTGTTACTAAATCTTACCTAAGACAATTTATATTCTGTCGTTTTTCTATAATCAGAATAAAGACAGATATCTATAACTAGCAAATGAATAATGACCTGAAGATGGCTTGCAACGTTATGCCTTGTCAAACCGTCGACTTTCATTAACTCCAATATACGAGAAGGAATGGCTTGATCAATGCCTAGTTGTTCAACTGCCTTCACAAATTTTTTGTGCAGGTCGGATGTCCAGTCTACCTGAACCATAATTGAGTGCCAAAGATGTGATCAGATAATCACAAGAGTTGATCGCCGGAAAAACAAGGATATGGTAAGAAGAACCAATAATCATAATGCATCTTACTTTCATCTTCTTCCGATTAGCTCTATTCTCACATGAATCCTTAGGACCACTTCTTTCATTTGGAGACGCATTACCATCAGCGTTGTCGAGAAGATTTTTACTCTGTGGATTTGTTGAGACACTGCTCTCACCTTTTGAACTATCCTCTTCCTCCTTAATCAGAGGTTTTGTTGGTTGAAGAGAATTTTCGGTATTCAAATTCTCACATGAAGTTTCGACAAATTTACATTCACTACCATCATGTTCTCCACTTTCTTTTTCTATTGAGCACTTAGTCTGCTCATGGCAATCACCATCATCCACTAACCTCGCAACTTGTTTTAACTGCGGTGTTGAAGGAGCCGGATATTTATCACTCGCTGCAGAATGCTCTTGTTCGTTATCACTAAACTTAGACACCTTATCTAAATCTATCGACATGGACTCAACGGATTCTTTGACAGGTTTTTGCGGTTCAGACATAGCACTTTTATCCGCATTGAAGGCCTAATTGATTGAATTAAACAACATTAGAAACTATTTTTCTTAGATTATGTTAACTGTAAACACCAACATAATAATACTAACATACCTTGTGAACCACATGCTGCCAAATATTTTTCAGCTTATCCTCAGAGAGCGGTTTAGTTAGGAACTCAACTGCACCAAGCTTTAAACCGAAAAAATGCATCAAAGAGAATCAACATGTATGCATCGACAATACGGAGGACAGCATGAATATGTAATCTATTCCTACAGACTACTGATAAGTCCAAATCAAAATCTTACCGCAATGCACTTCATCATTGTATTCAAGCAATGAATGTTCGAAGTCACTGCACAAAAAATTGCAAGTATCGTGGTTAGAAAACTAACAGCAAGCAGAAAACATCACTGATATAAGCTTTTGGTTGTTTTGTGTACTTACTAATGGTTGGCAAGTCCTTAGCATTCTCGAGAAACTTGAAACCTCCATCAGGACAGCTTGTACTCACCTGCAACTCAGATGGACCCGTGTGGTTATAAATCACATCATCAACGCAGAATCAGTTACAATATATATATCTTCGAAAAAGAGAAACCATAAATGTAATGACATTATCCAAGTAAATTGAAAGACAGATGGTTCCTATGCAGAAAGCATTTTCTGATTAAACTTTCCAACTACTGCATAACGATTTGCATGTCATCTGTTCGGAAAATGAAAGTTCATTACCTCGACTACAGCAACATGGAAGCCTTTGGGACTACTCGAGATCCCCGACAAAGCTTCGTTCACATTGTAGAAGATAGAAACTGCATGGAAACCGAGGTTTACTTAACAAATTAAAGGAATAAACAAGGAGCACAAAAACAATACTATGGATTTAAAATTAAGCTAAAGTTAGTTCCTAAGATATTACTAGTATGGCAAATGCTAACGAGTGGTCACGGGCACTCTTTTAAACCTTAAAAAAAATTCTTTATTTGGAATCTTTAAAGAGTGCCCATGGGGCACTCGTTAGCAAGACCCTACTAGTATTTAATTAAACTTAGATTAGGGAAACTCTAATTTACCATAATAAATGAACATCTACCAACAAATTCATAATCTCATGGAAACCAAAAGGTCACAAAAATCTAAATGCACACATAAATAGAATAAGTTCAGTTTTCCACAATAAAGTCAGAATCATGACAACTCTTTTATCCACAACACCTTTAGAATTTGGACCACTCTCATATTAACATACAATTTAATCTCAAATGAAGAACTTTTAACAACTTTGTTTATAAGCTCTCTATAGGCAAATACCAATTATCCTAACATCAAGCATAAAAAAAAGGAACAACTTTATCAAAAGTGATGTATGATGAATTTTTTCTATTTTTCGACATGCAAGTAAAATCACAGGCCACAATTTCTCATAGAACCATATACTACGAAGCATGGACACCAGAAACACGACACACACATTAACACCAATAATAATTTGAAAAGTTAACAAATTAAACGTAATTACAAGTGTCGGTCTCGGTTTCAGACACGGACCCACCTTTTTCGAGAGGTGTTGGTGCTAAAGAGATCATATAACATAAGGAATATTGAAAGAAGGGTCACTTTAGAAGAAGATGCCATTCTATGTAAAAGAAGGGGACCAACTTTACCAAATAATTCAAGTGAACAAAGAAGTGAGGCAAACCAAAAGGTAAAAAAAAGGATCAATTAAGTTTACCATTATAGTCCATAGATTCAAGCTTTGTTCTTATTTCAGAAGCAGAATTGTTGTCTCCTTCAAGGAGAAGAACCCTAAGTCCCTTTGGAAAATCTTTCCATCCTTGTAAATCATTGGCAGTGCAAACCATAGCTGGTTTGGCATCCCTCTACACTAGTAGCAGATCAAAACCAATCTGCAAGATCCATTATGAGATCACAAACTACAAGCTTGTTTAGACAAAGTACTAAACTTTAATCTAACACAGAAAGAGATAATGTGGAATATTAACATGGTTTTTGAATTCAGATCATGCATTTCTTCAGCAAAAGAAAGAAAAAAAGTGTACTTTATATTGTAAACTCTAAACTAAAAATCTAATTTGCAGAAAGAAAAAAAAAAAGAACTTTTGAGACAGAACAACAAAGTAAGAAAAACCCAGGTAAGATCTTGCAAGAAAAACCTTAAATTATCAAAAGAAGGCAAAGGTAGCACAAAACATGACATGCACGTATCATAATCCAAAAACAAAACAAACAAAAAAAACATGAAAACAGAAACAAGTGAATTCTACAAACATCATGCACATGAAGATTGTGTGTACGATGTAATAGTACCTTGGATGAAAAGAAAATGGCCCACGAATTAGTGCTGGTAAAGTTTAGTTCTTTGTTAATTTAGTTCATTGATTGATAAGAAAAAAAAGCATAGAGAGAGAGAGAGAGAGAGAGGGGTTTAAGTGAAGTTGTTGAAGGGTGTGTATGAGTTGTGACTTGTGAACAGTCACATTCATTTTGAGAGAACCACACAGACAGACACAAACACAATGCAATGCAGAAAAAAGTAACCTCTCATAATGGTCAATCAAACTTTTTCACACCATATTCCAATATTACCCTCCTTTTGTTTTTTTGAAAAAAAATCATCATATTGTGCTTCTAATTTTTTAAGAGATATAATTAAGAATAAAAAACTACTGTCTTTGATAGATATTTTTGTATACTTTCAACCAAGATTCTATATTCTCAAGGCTCTATTTCGAAGAGAAATTTTGGAGAAGGAAAAAAGGAGACTTTTTTTTATTAAGAAAATTAAACAGTTATGAAATGTTTTTAAAATTAAATGAAGTGTGATTGAATTCATCATATGTTTTTTATATTTTTCAATTTTCTTAAAATCTTAAATATATATTAAAAGAGTTTAAATGCACTGACTTTATAAAAAAAAATTTATACCGTCATCCAATAAAAATATATTATTTTATTATATTATATAAAAAATTTATAAATTATAATCTGATTTGGCGAAATTTATGGTCGTGATTAATTGATAAAATGCATTATTCCTTTTCTTATATTAAAATATATATTAACCTCTAAAATTTTCTTTTAAATAGTAAGTTTTAAAAATATATTTAATTGGAGGAATGTAAAATGAGTGTGTTTGCGCTTAATGTCCAATTTATAGAGTCGTAGGGTTTCAATTTGTGAATTTCTAAATGTAAGCTTTTTGAAAATTAAGATTTTTATATATATGATTTAAGCATGTTAATGTGTTTATGAATTAAATAGGACGTTGTTGTTATTATGTCATAAATGAAGAAATGTGTTTATGATTTTATTCATCATATAGGGTCGTTTATAGACAAATGAATGTTTATGTATCAGGGGATTAAATCAAAGTTGAAATATGATGGTGATAAGCGAGACTATAACACTCATGGTCACAACTTTTGAATTATTTAATGGTCATATAGTGGAAGAAGATATAAACCTTGAGGATATTATAAACTTTGAGGATATTGTAAATCTTGATGAAGTCTAAATTGTTAAAAAGCATTAAATATAGTTGCAGGGAATGAAAGGAGGCATGTGTTGAAGAAAATGCAATAAATATAGAAGTTGTTGAAGTGAATGTAGTAGGTTTTGAATAACAAGTTGTACATGAAATTAAAGTGAATGAAGATGGAGTGAATGATGTAGAGATTATTGATACTACAATAGTGATGGTGTGAGTTTTAATTAGAATAATGCATTGGATATAGAATTTGAAGATTTAATTTAGTGTAGTGATGAATGTATGGATATGATATGCAAAACATGTTAGATTGTGTCCAGGATATAGAGGGTCCTAGTAAAAAAACAAAAGCATATAGAAGAATTTAATGAGATTGGAGTTTAAAATGAGCAATTGGAAAATGAGTGTGAATTATATGAGAAAGATTAGTGGCGGAGCCACAAATTTTAGATAGTTTGAAAAAAAATTTAACCGTAAGTTACATGTGACATAATATATAAATAATTAAAAGGTGTGTTAATTTTGTCTCTGTTTTTACTAATTTTGTCTCTGATTTTATTTTAAAATTGGCTATTAAATTAGGGAGAATACAAAGAAAGTAGGGGTTGATCTCAGGCGCATGCCCGAGCTCGCTGGACTATAAAACTGCCCCTGAGAAAGATATATCTAATAGGAAGAAATACACATTTTTAAGCTGTCGAAAACACATGGCAGATAATAAGTCGGAATTAGAAATCTATTTTGCTAGGAAGTTTGATTTGAAGAAAGCATACACAACATATTTAGAGGTAACCTTAAGTCAAGAAAAACAACAAAAAAAAGTGAGGATTTTTTGAAAAGAATGGAATGTTTATTGTGTTAAATAATCAAATGAGGACAATTGACAATTGAGGAAGATGGTTGACATTAACAATTAAAGTCATCCAAGTTCCCAATACTCATGTACTCATTCAATCTCTTGGACAATTCAATTATTACTCTTTTGGTTAGCGAATCAGACATTTGATCTTCACTTTTACAATATCTCAACTTCAATTTTCCCTCACTTACAAATTATCTTAAGCAGTGTAATCTCGTCTCTATATGCTTGTTTCCCTCATGTGTAATGGAAGTCTTAACAAGATTTGTAGCAGAACATTGTCTATCATCAAAGTCACAACTTTATACTCTTAGTTGCACAACTCCTTCATCAAATTCATCAACCATGTAGCTTGACACAAACACATAGACATTATAGTATACTCGACCTCACAAGAAAAGAGTGTCACAACTAGTTCCTGTTAGAATTAAATCAATTATAACAATCAATCAAATATACATGCTCAATAAAGTGCGGAAACCAGATAGTCATACAAGCATGTATAATATTAAAAGACCTACAAATTGATTTTAAGAATACCAGAATCCATTGAGAAAGTTCATGTTGACGGTAATCCTGAGAGCTGAGAGACAAACAAAGAATACTTGATGGCTTGTGAGGTTCTTTCTCAATCGGTATTCCTAATATCTTGAATTCTATTCTAATGGTGATACCAGATTATTTGCTTGTGTAAGTTATATTGGGGACCATAGCCTATTTATAGAGTGGTGACCAATTAGGGTTCTCATTATTCTGAATTGGGTCATTTTGACATCCACTCGTATTTTAGCCCATATCTAAGTAATTAATTAATTAATTTCTAAATTAAATTTAATCAACCTTTTAACTTTATTTGATCACTTAATTATCTAAGGCACCTAATTAATAAAATAGCTAATACAATTAAAACATATATGCTCATATAATAAATGGAAATATTAAAATATTATATTTAAAATATTCTAAATGTTCCTTCTTAAAACACCAAGAGATTGGTGTTTCTCCGTACATTAAGGTGTATTCAGCAGTAAAATTTTTATCATCTTTATCTTTACACCAGTCTGAGTCAGTATATCCGACCAATTTGCAGCTTCGACCTTTATTGTGGCGACATATCAATCAAGAGGAAGTATGAAGAGTGTTCTCGTAAAAATGAGGTGCAAGAAAGCCTTACCTTAACTAGTATGAGTGAATACTTTGTAAAGCATAAGGGTGTTCTCGTAAAAATGCATGGTTATATCACACACACACTAAAACACTTTTTAAATTGATTTTTCTCAAGAAAATATCTTCAAAAATATCTTGAAATTGTGTTAGATGAATTGGAAGTTGTCATAATAGTATTGGGAAAAGTTTTATCTTTGACAATCGATTAGCACATTGACCTAATTGATTGGATTGATGTAAAATTTCCAAAATACACCATCTCAAGATGAAACTTGGTTCTGAATCTTACATCTTTGCTAAAGTTGCCTCGATGTTTCTTGTCCTACACACACTCTTCACATAATTCGGTTGGCATATCGATCTATTGCAGCCTCATAACCATGTTATTTTTCTGTATAGCATTGAGGCCCTTCAAATTTAAATGCCCTAACCTGTAATTCCATATTCATTCTTCTCTATTAGTAGTCGTTATTAGATACCTATGATCCATTACTTTTAATTCAACTTTGAAAATTCAGTTTTGAGACATAATGTCCTTTAGGATCAAACTCCCATTTGCATCCATAATTTTCAGCACTTTGTTTTCCATGTGAATCTTGTAATTCCTTTTAAGCAATTGGCCAATTCTTAAAATATTATATTTGATTTCGAAAATATACGACACATCTTTAATCAAGGAATGCTCTTCATGCTTCCTCTTGATTGATATGTCGCCAATACCCCCTGCTGCAAATGTGATATCATCCGTGAATTTCACCTTATTTTTCAAGCAATTATACTCGGTTTGACTGCATGTCTCTACACTGGTTTTTGCTTCAACAATCATCATTAACAGTATGCTCTCATCATCTTCTTGCCTTGTAAACTTTGCTTCAGCTTCTTGTGGATCATTCTTGTTGGCAGGACATTCACGAGCAAAATGTCCAAGATTTTGGAAATTGTAACATTTAACATTGGTCTTGTCATTCTTCCATCTTCCTATATTGTCGTCACCTTATTAATTGTTTGATCCACCACCTTTGTTGTTGTTGCTTTTACCATTTTGAGATGTTAAATTATTGGAATTTTTGAAGTCTCTTCCATCATTGTTGTGGTAGTTCCCTATACCTCTATTCATAGACCATTTTCCCTTCACTTTCTTGTCTTTTCCAATGAACTAATTTACAAAGTGACTTTAGTCTTTGCTTTGTCAATATTCCTATCTTTCATTCTTTGCTCATGAGCCTTAAAAGAACTTTGTAACACTTCTTTTCTCATAGTTGAAAGATCATTGGACTCTTCAATGGCAACCACTACATTATGGAATCTTGACGTCAATGATCTCGAGA